TTTGTCTCGGTTGGTTGCATGGTCACTTACATTTCTCCCCCCCCCCCCCCCCACAAAAAAAATCCTTCTGTCTCGGTTGGTTGCTTGGGGCCCACCAGTATAAAAGTTTTAATGGACCCATTCACGGTTAGGAGTTGGGACACGAAAACATAAGCCCACATAAATTTCTCAGATTTTCTCAAAAAATAAAAATAAAAAAAAAATTATTTTCTTTTTGTTTTGCAGATTGTGTGACAAAAGTAAAAGCCATCACAGTCCATGTGCTTCTCTCTCTTTATGCTCACTCACTTTATAGAAAAGGTCTCATAAATTTTAAGGTTCCAAGCAGAGCATTATAAATTTTATGAGAAATTATTTTTATTAATAAATGGTTAGCGTTTTTTATTTTTATTTATATTGCTAATTGTGATTGTTTGAAACTATGTAATTTTGGATTATATAATTATCTTTTAAAATTTTATAATTATAATAAAGTCTTTAGAGTTTGGAAAACAAAAGGGGGGTGTTTTTCCTTTAGAAAATGTTTTGTAGGTGTTGGCTCTCCCTCCCGTATAGATTTTGACCCAATATAAAATGAGAGTTGATGGGTCAAATTTAGTTAACCAGATCTTAAATTGAAAATAATTCAGCTAAATAAGTTTCTTAAATTGATAATTATCACAAGTGATATAAAATTAAATAGATAACTATCACAAGTAAAATAGATAATCACATCATCCAATAAATTTCAATCCACTTGAAAATGAGTAAGTTAAGTTTATAACTTAATACTATAGTAGTACTTCCTCGCATTTAATAATAAAAATATATATATATAAAAAATAAAAAAAAAATTTGGATGAATTTAAGTTTTGGGTAAGTGAGTGTGTGAGAATGTGAATGTATATATATATATTTTTTGTTAAAATTAAAAAATTCTAATTTGGTAATAATATCAACAATTGTCACAAGTAAATAATCACAAGTGGCATGTGAGCTTTCATGCGATCTAAGTCAAATAGAATGATAGCGGGAGCAAGAGTGAGAACGAATGCTAGCGTGAAATGCGTAAAATTTAGGTCACATAGAGTTAGAAACTTAGAATTAGAGTAAGAGTGTTCGGAACGTGAGAGTGAAAGAGTGCTTGGAATGTGAGAGCAATACCTATTGAGAAAGATTGCGTAACTTAATCTGAGACATTGAAAAAAAGAAACAAGAAGGCTTTACTAAATATTGCGGATTTATACATTTTGTGTAAAGAATATTTATAGAAAATTGTACTAATTTATCTTACCTTATCAATGAATTTGATAATTCGTGCACTCATCTGATCTTTATTTGTAGCCTTCAATTTTGTATCTGGACAGGTTTCTTCCTATATGCATAACTTTTGTTTTATATTCCGTTTCAAATTAGAAGTTTCTTTTTGAGAATTTAATTTTTTTAAAAGATAAGATTTAATATTTTTGTATTATACTGATGGTGAATGAAGTATGAAATACGCCCATATGAATTCGAAGATTTACTTTTTTAAAGTTTAATTCAAAAGGTTTAAATTAGTAATGTTATAAAAAAATAATACATGGGACATATGTTTTGGAACAGTCAAAAACATTTTATTTAAAATTTATTGCATACAAGTCTTCAAATTAACATGCGACCCACCACCATGATCCATTACTCATTTTGTGCAAGAATCTAAGGTGCCCTTTCATCATGCTTATGGTTCAATTATTTAACTACAATTTCTATGCAAGTGCTGGACAAATTAATTCATTGAGAAAAAGATAAGGACACGACAAGCTTAATTTCTCGGGTATACCTACTGAAGATGACCTTTATGGCATATATTTGATTATTCAGCAACAATTTCTATGCACGTGTTTGACGAATTGTGTCCGCATCACAAGCTTCCCAAAATGTTACGCCACATAAGCAGCAGCCACTGTTACACATAGCTTAAGAAGAAAAATGATATTCCCTACTTATTAGATCTACTTAATAAAGAGGTCGTTGGCAACTATTTTTTGATTCTTTCTTCTACTTTGACCCGAAATAGAAATAGAGATAGTGCTAGTATTTCTATTTTAGAGTATATTTAACATTATTTTAAAACTAATTTGATAATGTAAATTTGTTGTAAAATTTTGGAAACAAAAACATGAAAATATGTTTGTAAAAAAGTGTTAGTAAATTTGAAATTTTGAATGGTAGTTAAAATTTTCATCTTAGAAACAAAATTTTTTTTTTTTTTTTGAACAATGATTTGCTACAGTGTGGAAGAAACCAAAAAACATCATTTTTATGCTCTGATTTTGGCTTTTTTCTCGAAAGTGGTTTGTTACTATTCAAATGACAATAAATATTACCAAACATGTTTCGTATTTTTGTTTCGCTATGATACACTAATAAAAACAAAAAATATGATGCAAAAGCATTAGCCTAACGAGTCCCAAGTGAAACAACTAAGAACATTTTACGGCCTGAAGTGGAACCATTTGGGCTTTTGGAGTGGACCATTATGCAAAGTTAAGATAGTTATTCCTCCTATTTATTTGTATTCATGAAAAGTTCGGACTCGGTTCCAGATCATTTGTTAAATAAATGAGCCAAGCTTGAGTTCGATTTCTAAGCTCATTTAATAAACGAGTCGATCCTGAATAATGATGTGTTTAGCTCCTGAACATGAGCTCGTGTAGGCTCGTTTATGTTCGTTAATTGTAGGCTCCTTATAAGGCTCATTTACATTTATTTTTATTTTTTGATGAAATTCTTTAATTTTTGAAAGTATAAGATAAATATACAGTAATTTACTAAACGAGTTGGGAAGTTCGAAAATGAGTCTAATAGACCTATCGGATTCAGATCAGATCGATCAAATTCATATCTGATTTGTTAAGCAAACGAATTATCGGATTCGGATCACTAACGGGGTTCTCGGACTGAATGTCCCAATCCATATCCTATTTAGCTCGGATTAGAATTGAATCGGATTTGAATTGGAATTTAAATCATATTTACTAACATATATAATTATAAAGTTAGATAAAGTGAAGAATTGTTAATATACAGAATGCTACATAATATAACTATACAACTAAATGAATATAATGATAAATAATTAATATATATAAATTTAGTAATATATAACTAATATATATAAGATTGATGAGAACACCACACTATTAGTATGTATATTAAGAGATTTATTAGCATGTGGATCAGTGGATGAGAACACCACACTATTGTATATATAACATTATGATTTTTTTTTTTTTGGATTTTTGGGTTACCTCTAATACAATTCTAATAGGAGTATTGATATAAATATGCAAAATTATTGATAAATAATTATATATATATATATATAATTATTTATATATATAATTCGGATCGGATCGGATCAACATAATCATATCCGATTTGTTAAGTTAACGGATTATCAAATTCGGATCGTAATCGGGTTATCGGATTTTTTATTCAATCCATATCTGACTAATTTGATCGGATTCGGATCAAAATCCGCTCCATTGACAGGTTTACTTTTGGAGTGGACCATTATGCAAAGTTAAGATATTTATTCCTCCTATCTATATGTATTCATGAAAAGTTCGGACTCAGCTCCAGCTCGTTCGTTAAACAAATGAGCCAAGCTCGAGTTCGATTTCTAAGCTCATTTAGTAAACGAGCCGATTCCAAACAATGATGTGTTCAGCTCGTGAATATGAGTTCGTGTAGGCTCGTTTATGTTCATTAATTGTAGGCTCCTTATAAGGTTCGTTTACATTTATTTTTATTTTTTTAATGAAATTCTTTAATTTTTGAAAGGATAAGATAAATATACAATAATTTATTAAACAAACTGGGAAGCTCCAAAATGAGTCTAAACAAATTTTGACTATGAATTCAATTTATTTTCTTAAATGAGTCGAGTCTGAACTTTTTCACACCATGACGAGCCCAAGCAACCTAAGGCTCGGCTTGGTTCATTTGCAGCCCTAATAAGAAATACGGAAAAATCAATTTCAGATTATAACATTACCTTAATACTATATTTGGAAGCACCAAATCATGATTTTGGGATTGGAATGGGAGGATATTTAGTTTAAAATGAAATTTATTCAAACTTTAATTAAATATTCTCTAATTCTATAATGTCTCGAATTTTTTCTAAATTTGTTATTTTATTTATTTTTTATACCTCGTTTTGCATGTCGAGTTCTGTGGGGTATGCCATATGAATTTTGAGAGTTAATTTGGACATTCCTTTAAGTTCAGAATTTCAAAAAATGCATTATTCGTTGGGGGGTGTGAGTGTGTGTGTATATATATATATCATTATTTTATATTTGTAAAAGAAGAGGATTCAACGAAAAGGAAAGGTGTTGACAATGAAACCTTTTTCCTCTTCTAGTTTATGATCGAACTTTTTTAAAAAAATTCTCGCACAACGAAAAGGAAAAACGCGTGTTACGTGGACTCTCCCTCTTTCTCCCAATGGATAATGACATGTTAAAGATATTTTGTATGGGATATGTGTGACGTACACCTGCACCAATGTTTGTTCATGTGTATGTTCATGAGTCCGTATAATATAGGGATTAATTCATAAAAATAGGGTTATGGTGGGGAAATTTCAAATTGATGGAGTAAAATTTACTCTTTCCCAGAAAAAGGATTAATGGAGATTAATTGTCAAAATCATAAAAATTTACTGTATATTATATTTTTATTCCTAAACTGCCCCTTTTACTGTCGAGCCGGGGGACTGAGCGGGCTTCATTCAATAATACTGGGCCGCAACAGCAAGAAATCCACCGTCGACGTCGAACTCTCCTCCCTCGGCGGCGGCATGAACATCTCGCGCCACAACGCGCGGATCTTCTACGATTTCCAGAGCCGCCGATTTGCCCTAGAAGTACTCGGCAAAAATGGCTGCCACGTCGAGGGCGTCCTCCACCTCCCCGGCCACCCTCCGATTAAGTTCGACTCTCGGATTGAACCGGTGAGGTTGTCGTGAGATGGATCGAGAGTGCGAAGACGGTGGAGAGAGAGGACGGGTTGGTGTGGCTCGCGGGTGGACTGGTTGATGCGGCTGTCAGGCGCGTGACCGGCACGCGGAGTATTCCGGTGAGGACTACAGAGGGATTGAAGGTAATTTGTTCAGTCCATTCCACCATGGTGGGTCTCGCTTAAGTTACGGGTATGTGGCGATGCAGGAGGATCGAGCGGATGGCATCGACGAAATTGGTGGCCCGAATAGGAACAGGAGGCCATGGTTGTGGAGGTGGACCTTGGCATGGAGAGTTTGGCCGGCATAATGAGTCTGTACTTGGTGGGCGGCGATTGGGCGGCGGAGATGGTGACGGGAGATTCGGTGGACGATGAAGTCGCCGCCGGCGAACAGGGTGGCTTCTCAGATGATCCGGGTTTTGGTTAATTAGTAGAATTGGTGAAAGGGTAATATGGTTATTTCCCAGACAATTGAGGGGGTAATTTGGTAATTAAGGCAAATTCCATTTTTTTGGAACATTGACTTTGACTAATTGACTTTGACCTCACACTCTGTTTTGGTCCTGGACAGTTTAACCTGTAACTTGTTTGGGAATGTATATAATAAGCATGAGCTTCCCAAGCTCTTTCAATGTTCAAGACGCCTTTGCACACTTGAAGCATTAGTCAATTAACCCTCCTTTCACTTCATGCCGTTCACTTTGTAAAGGTTAGATTATAGTATATTGTTACTTTTGAATTCCAATTATAATCAGCTTTCGTGATGAATATGATTTTCCTCGGCCAAAAGGGCAAAAAGAAAAAAAGAAAAAAAAACAGAACTAAAAGCCTTCAAGGGTTATGGGTTCTTGACCATTAATGCTTCAAAGTTAGGGGGTTTGATTTATTTAATTTTTTTACAGAAACTAACAATGTTCGTATTAATTTCGGACTATAATCTTTTGCTCTATTACAAGATTACACTTGAAATGAGCATTGTGTTCATTTCTGATCACAAGAAGTTCCAATTTTCACATTACAGGTGAATTATTAGTCCTTTTTACAATGGGCGATCCCACTGATAAGGACCTGCAAACGAAAGAGATGGACATTAGAAGCTTGTCATCCTCTCAACATCGAACACAAAGTTGTCCTAGAATTCACAAGGTGGGAGTCCCCCCTAAGCAAAGCCTCTTGAAGGAGTTCACGGCCACTGTGAAGGAAACATTATTGGCTGATGATCCTCTGCGTGCCTTCAAGGGTCAATCACGGTCTCGAAAATTCACCCTAGGCATGCAGACCATTTTCCCCATTCTTGAATGGGGGCAAGATTATAATTTAACAAAATTTAGAGGGGATCTCATTGCAGGACTCACCATTGCAAGTCTTTGCATTCCTCAGGTATGTTTCTCTAAGAAATACTTAAATATGTACAAGAAAACACATTACTTTTCACATTAATTTGCACATTTCTAACAATTCATTAACTTGTAAAACAGGATATCGGGTATGCAAAGCTTGCGAATTTGCCTCCCCAGTATGCATTGCGTAAGTTCTCATACTAATCAAACAAGTTGGATTGCCTTATAACACCTCTTTTAATTTTTCTTCGTTTTTCTACAGACTCCAGCTTTGTTCCACCATTGATTTATGCCTTCATGGGTAGTTCACGCGATATAGCCATAGGGCCGGTGTCTATGGTGTCACTCTTGTTAGGAACATTGCTCAAGAACGAGATTGATCCCTATGCAAATGCAGCTGAATATCTGCGACTTGCATTTACAGCTACTTTCTTTGCCGGGATCACTCAAGTTACCCTTGGGTTTTTCAGGTAACAAAGGACATGCCTCTACTTTGATCCTCAAAATCTCAGACACAAGTTATATTATCAACGATTGTTCCTCTTATGTTTTACGTTTTTCACCAATCATGTTCTGATGGTGGTTTGGGTTTTTGATACCAGATTGGGTTTCTTAATTGACTTCCTATCCCATGCTGCCATTGTTGGATTCATGGGTGGAGCTGCCATTACAATCGCTCTCCAACAGCTCAAAGGTTTTCTTGGAATCACGAAATTCACGAAGAAAACTGATATTGTTTCTGTAATGAAATCAGTGTGGGGTTCTGTCCATCATGGAGTAAGCTCTCTCTCTCTCTCTCACACACACACACACACACACGCACGATTAGGGCTACAATATCTTGGTAAACACGTCTACAGCCCACGCCCATGTCTACCAATGTGTTGAGTTATGAGTTACTAAGTCAAATATATGTACAACATTTTGCAGTGGAACTGGCAGACTATAATCATTGGAGTGGCCTTTTTGGCTTTTCTTCAATTTGCGAAGTTCATTGTAAGACCCTATTTTTATTAAGTTTCCGTAGAATTGTAAAACATATCTGGATTCCAACTCTCACATGATTCAGTAATAAACAGGGAAAGAAGAACAAGAAATTTTTTTGGGTACCAGCAATTGCTCCATTGATCTCTGTTATCCTGTCCACCTTTTTTGTATATATCACTCGTGCAGACAAGCAAGGTGTTCAAATTGTAAGTACTAAAATCTTAGACTTACCTCTTCCTATATTCTGAACTTCTGAACTAATATTTTTACTGATGATCGCAGGTGAAGCATATAGAGAAAGGAATTAATCCTTCATCCTTGAATGAAATATATTTCTCCGGAAAATATTCTATAAAAGGTTTTAAGATTGGTGTCGTGGCTGGTATGATAGCATTAACGGTGAGTCAGATTTGCACTCCATCTGGTGTTATTCACAGATTTTTGTTTGTTATCTCCTGTATTTAAATCACTTTTTCTTTCCGTTTTTTCCCCTCCTTTGTTTTTTGTGGAATGGTAATATTTTATCAGGAAGCTGCGGCAATTGGAAGAACATTTGCTTCCATGAAGGATTATCAGCTGGACGGAAACAAAGAAATGGTGGCAATAGGAACAATGAATATTGTTGGCTCGATGACCTCCTGCTATGTGGCAACAGGTAGGAAAGAAGCATAGAGAACAAAAAAAAAAAAAAAAGTAGAATTATTTTTGTTTTTTTGTTGTTATGTTATTGACAATATCTGCTCATCACTTGCAGGTTCCTTCTCTCGCTCGGCAGTTAATAACATGGCTGGCTGCCAAACTGCAGTTTCTAACATTGTGATGTCCTTTATTGTATTCCTAACCTTATTATTCATCACACCCCTATTCAAGTACACCCCAAATGCCATTCTTGCTGCCATCATTATATCTGCAGTCCTTGGCCTAATGGACTACGAGACACCAATTTTGATATGGAAGATCGATAAATTTGATTTTGTTGCCTGCATGGGAGCCTTTCTTGGTGTGATTTTTGTCAATGTTGAGATAGGTCTCTTGATTGCGGTAAGAATTGGTGTATTTACTGATCTTCATAAATTCCTTTTGTCGACTGAAAGCGATTAGCCTAATTGAATTGGATGTGCTTCCCCTGTTTGTTATGATAGGTCGCAATATCCTTCGCTAAAATCCTCCTACAAGTTACAAGGCCAAGGACAGCTCTTCTTGGGAGGATCCCCCGGACAACTATTTACAGGAACATCCAACAATATCCAGAAGCATCTAAGGTTCCGGGCATTTTGATTGTGAGAGTTGATTCTGCAATCTACTTTTCTAACTCCAACTATATCAAAGAGAGGTAAGGACACTTTTTTACTTTTCTGTTATACTTAATTTATGTAGCTTTCTCTTCAAATCATGATTCGAAAGAGAACAAACCCACTACCCATGTTGCGTATCTACGAAGTTTTGGATTATCACCATATTAATTTAAATTTTAAGCTCCAATCAAGCTAATATTTTTGCTTAGAAATTTGTACATAAAATTTGTGAAATATTATCTATTGAAAATAGTCTTGCCTCCACTTCTGAGAATTGTGATGGGGATAATATAGCTAGGGTCTTTTTAAGTTGGTTAGAGTTCAAGTGGCTTTAGTCTAAAAATTAACTATACTGCAGGATATTGAGATGGTTGACTGACGAAGAAGAGCAATTAAAAGCAGCATACCAACCTAATATTCAATTTTTGATTGTTGAGATGTCACGTAAGTACTGTTTACCCGGTTCACGAACGGCATATTCCTATTTGCAAGCATACTTTTACCATGCTTGCCTGTACTTAGAAGCATATGCTAATCGCTTTTTATGGTCCATCCAGCCGTTACTGACATTGACACCAGTGGCATCCAAGCCTTGGAAGAGTTACACAGGAGTCTCCAAAAGAGAGATATTAAGGTTACTATATTACTAACCTCTATTTCATATGTTATCATTTATTTTTATTATTATTATTTTTTAATTCTCGTAAATATGTACACGACAGGACCATCCATAGAAGTAGAAATGATTTAGAAAAGTTACCTTACAAAAGTCTTCGCCTTGTTGTGCAGCTTGTTCTGGCAAATCCAGGGCCAGTGGTGATTGACAAGCTACACGCATCCGATTTTGCCAATGTGATTGGTGAGGACAAGATCTTCCTCACCGTGGCAGACGCCGTGCTAACCTGTTCACCAAAATTGACGGAAGAGGTTTGAGATGCGAAATGGAAAAACAAGTAAGCCACTGAGAGAGTGACGCATAGAGTGTTAGGGTGACAGAGGACATATATATAATGTTGAAAAAAATGAGGGAGTGCAGAGTGCTAATCCACAAGAAAAGGCGTGCACACGTTCTGATAAAGTTCTTCCTCAAACTAAACTATGGCACTTTTTAGTTTCGATACATCACGAATGTAACCTCACTGTGTAGTACATGTTGACTCAAGAAAATTCCTACTCGTATGTGTATCTTTCAATAGTCTCGTACCCTTGAAGGGGTACGATAGTGTACATTTTCCCGTTCACAGGATAAAGGATTTCCAGAAAGTGTCTGTTCATTAGGTTGAATAGACTGTAATGATCACTGAAAAAACAATATTAATATAAAGTGTTAGTGTTTCGTCTCCTTTATTTTCTTTTATTTGTTATGTAAATTATTGAAGTTAGTGAAATTAAATGAATTTGCCATCAGAAATTTATTGTTATCTCTTGTTTAATTTCAGCTTTCCTAGATTAAGATATATTCTCCTCCTACATTATAAGCAGCTGAAATTAAACAAAATGGACAAGTCCAGAAAATAATAACTACAATAATCTACTTTAGACTGATTATAAAATTGATCTTGTTAGATAAGGTGACTACTCATTTAAATAAACAATGAAGTGGGTGAGTCAGCATCAACTTTGCATAGAAGGACCAAGGTCTGTATATTGCTCAACTCATCATTCTACTCAAAGCCATTATTACTTGATTTGAAGCTAGCATCAGGTTCTTGACTGTATTGGCATTTGATCAATAATTTTTCATACATCAGGATGATGAATTTGAAGAAATATCCATAGAATAAATTACTAAGTGCCACAGAGTTCGTGTTGCGCACTTCAATTGAGAGTTGATGGTTAATGCCAAGAACATGTTAGTAGTATAAAACTGAAATCTTGTTTCACTGAAGCTCTTCTGCTATTGTGGGAGGACATAGGTGTGTATATATTCGTATATATAGAGAGAGAGAGAGAGGAGGAGGAGAGGAACTAGGTTAGATTTGATTCATATTATCATCAATTTTTTGGGTTGGATGACTATTATCAGAGCTTTTTTTTTTTTTGTATCCGATGAACATGCATTGCATGATGTTGATGATACGAAGAATATGTAAATAAATAAGCATCAACTGATATTTGAAAATGATATGGTATGTGAGGTAATATGTTTCATTAAGCAAACTTTACTTCATCTTTGGCTGCAAAAAGAGTGCCCAATTGATGATCTGTGGCAAGACATTTCCAAGATTCACATAACTAATGGGGAGGACAGGACCTGGTGCTGTGAAACTTTGAACATTCTGGAAGTTTTGCAGAAGGAAAGTCCGGAAATTGAATGATCGGGGTTGGTTTGGAATAGGGGTAGGCCTGCTGCTTGTTCCACTAGTTGCCTTCTGTTGCAGAATAAACTCCCTTTTCTATGTAATCTTCAAGCTAGGGGTTTATTTGTGACCCCTGTTTGTCATTACTGTGTGAGATTCTAAAGGGGTTATTCAACAGCAAAGTGTTGTCCGCGTTATTCAACACCAAAGTTTATGTGTTTATATGCTCCGTTTCCAACACTAAAATGAGTGTGGTTAGGTGATAAGGATGAGGTGATAAGGCAGTGGTGTGTCGTCACAATTCTATTGGATGGTTAAGATTCATTTGACACGTCAACAACTGAGTTAATACAATACCAACACAGCATAGTTTCACTTAAGGGTAATATTGTAATCCTCTTTTTCTTGTGTCGGAGACCTCACCTAATGTCCTCAAATGCAACTTTATCATAGTTTAGGAGACGCTTGTTAATTCAGGGGGGGGGGGGGTTTTGTGCAATTGGCTGAAAGTTTGGCTAGCCGTCCGCCGGGTGGGTGGGCGCGGGGGGGGGGGGGGGGGGGGGGGTGTGTCCTTAAAGTATGTAATCAGAAAAAGATGTTACATTATTGTAACTCAATGTAGTATATTTCATGGCCAAGGGTTGGAGCTTAGTGTTGGAAACGGGGCATACAAAAACTTTGGATGAAAAGGCATCTTGTTGCCTATATAAACCCCTCTTGGGTTCATTTGCAAATCACTCCATTCAGAATTCTTTTCTCTAATTCTGAATTCTCTTCCTCCTTCTCTCTTCTTGCATACATTGTCTGTGGGTTCGAACCTTAGTTTGTGGGTTCGAGTCTTAGTCTGTGAGTTCGAGTTTACTTTAGAGAGAGAGTATTACACCGAACCGGTTCGCCCATTTCTTCGATTTGCAGTGCTATAACCGAAGGAAGACAAGTCGTTGTATCCTGGGAGATAGACGTCACTAAGTCTATTAGTACCATAATGGGACGAATCTGTCTTAAGGACATAGAATCAAACTATAGCCTCGACTTATAATCAGATTCTTTTATTTTGCATAGTTTTATTTTATTATATATAACTATATTTTATAACAAATTATATATATATATATATATATATATTATTGTTTTATAATAATAATTATGTATATATACATTATATTTTTGCATAATATTTAAATAAGTAATACTATAGTATATGGTATACTTAGACCATTATTTTGGACAACGCTTAGTGCTACTTCCTTGCCTTTCAAACATCGAATTGTTCAAGTCATCGTAGGTTTATAAAGTGGGAGTGTCTGAGTATTACATTCTCATTAGTATCTTGCCGTTTTCTTATGAAAGAAGTTGCCTATCATGACCGACTCACCACCACCATTATTACCTTAGGGCTGCAAATGAAGTAAGCAAAGATTGGCTCAATATAATAGTTATTGATTTTTATTTAAAAACCACCGTTCTTGCTTTTAGATGACTTGATTGTTCATTTCAAAAACTCAAAAAATAGAGAATAATTTTCAGAGAATTATAAAAGACTGTTATCTAAAAACAGATTTTTTTATAACTGAATTTTCCATTTGATGTTATAACCACTACAAGTTGATTAGACTATTAGGAGCCAATGTTTCAGGCACGACTGAGAAATTGAGGTTAAATTCAAGCTATCAAAGCTAATTCCAATAATCATTTTCCAAATAAAATAGACTTTTTGCACCTTAATTTTTATGAAATTATTATCCATTTTTTTTTATTTTTTTTATTTTTAGTTCACTAAATATATATATATATATATATATATATATATATATATATATATATATATATATTCACAATAAAGTGAAGATCATTACTTCTACCAAGAAGACTATAAAAATATGCCAACTAAATTTATTTATGTTAATTTATTATTATACTCGGCTATGACAATCAAGAGATAATAGAAGTGAATTTATAATGAACAGCTTATGTACATAGATATATAAATACAAACATGAATATTAAAGAATTTCAAGTATGTACACACAGTCTCATTAGATTAAAGTGAATGTCAATAGACTCCATTTTCTTCCTTTTTTTCACAGGAAAAAAAATATTTATTATTTATGGCTCATTTAATTTCAAAATAAAAAATGAAATATTGGGCTTTTAGCTGGGTGTAAGAAGTAAAGCCAAAGCCCAATGAAAAAGTAATAAGAAGGCCCATCAACATCTACAATGGCCGAAATGTGAAAAGAATTTTTTTTTAAAAATACTTATTCCGCTGCCGGGGTTCGAACCCGGATTTCATTCAATCCTGTTGAAATTTCCAATGTGCTACAGCGGATTTAATGATAACTGGCCTCATTTTATTTTATATATAGAAATAAATTTTTGTTTCAGTCCCTGACCAATTAACTTGTGCATGGGTAATATTATAGTAACTTGCAATGTTGAAATTTCCAATGTGCTACCGCGGATTTTATCCTTTTAACCGTTAGATTTGTGACATTAATTCGAAATTTGTAATTTTGTATGGAGTTCTTCATAAATAAAAAAATTACTACAATTTAAAAATGGGTAAATTGTATTTAACCCCCTTTGATTTCAATGTTTTGCAAACAATTCATCTTTACTATTTTTTTTGCCAAAAAATCTCCCTAAACCAAGAGGGGTTGCTTTTTGAATTTTTGCCCAAAAAAAACCCTCACCGACCAAGTCAAGGTTGATTTTATGCAATTTGCTCAATTTGTGTGAATTTAGCTAATTTTTATTTTATTTTTTTATTTTATTTTTATTTTTTACATAATAATATTTGAACTTACATTTTCCCTTACATGCATCACCATACTTTTCATAAAAAATAAAAATAAAAAGTAGTAAAATTCGTGGTTGTAAGTGGAACTACATGTTATTTCTTTACCATAAGTCCAACATAGTTAAATTCCGTAATATCAATTTTTCCCCAGTTTTTTTTTTCTTTTCAAAAAAATAAAAAATAATAAAGAAAAGCCTACTATTTTAGGCCATTCAATTAATTTTTGCAATTAAACTTCATTTATGTAGATCTAATTGTTTGATCAAATGTACATCTCATATATATATATATATATATATATATATATGTGTTAGGGGTGCAACTTGGGTTGGGAAACCCGAACCCAACCCAAGCTCGCCTGATTTTTTATGGGCTTGGACAATTATTTTTACAAATAGGGTTGGGTCTGGGTTAAAAAATATCTACCCGAATTTAATTAGGGTTGAACTTGGGTGAAGGTACTAGCAAGCCGATCAAACCTGAACCCGAATTCTAATATTATTTTTATATATATTTTAAATTTTAAATACATTATATATAGTATTTAAACTATGATTACCCTTTTTCTTTTCAACTTAATTTGTTAAATCTTAACTTATTGTTTATTATCATTTAAGACAATTAATTTTATAAGAATTTGTTTGTAATTTATTCAAAATTTTATAAAATGTAAGAGTAATTTAATCTAAAACTAATTCAAGATCATATTAAATTTTGGGTGTGAAGATTAGCTATATGAGTAACTCGATTTCATCCCAATTTTTAACATGGAATCTAAGCACGAGTTTTATGCAAGCCCGAAATTAAAAGTAGAATGATGGGTTGGTCTCGGGTTGAGTAGTTAGGGTGAAGGATAGGATTGAGTTGGACTCGGGTTTACCATTTCATATGGTGAGTTGGACTCAAGTTATACCTCAAATTCGCCCGAGTTGCAGTCCTAATATGTACTTATTATCAAATTAAAAATATAATATGAATAATATAATAAGAGTATATAAAATATAGAATACGAGTAACCATATAAGATTTGAACTTATATGTAGTGGCACTCATGACTACAAATTTTATTTTTTTTATGCTTTTCTTTAATTAAAAATATGGTGATGCATTTAACAAAAATATATAAGTTGATAAATTATTATTCAAGAAAGAAAAAAAAAATAGTTAAATTCGTCTAATTGGGCAAATTGTATAAAATCCCCCTTGATTAGTTAGTAGGGTTTTTTTTTTGGCAAAAATTCAAAAAGCAATCCTCATCGGTTAGTTGAGGGATGTTTTTTTAGCCAAAAAAAATAGTAAAGGGGGGTTTAT